ACCACTACCACTACCACTACGACTAGCACTACCACTACCACTACCACTACCACTGCTCGTACCACGACCACTACCACGACGACTACCACTACGCCTACGACGAAGAGTACGACGATGGCGACGATGACGAAGGCGACGACTAGTACTACCACTACTGCTTTGCAAGTTTCCCTTCAGCATTTTAGAAGGCGTCACTGCGCGCCCTCGGCGAGCTCTGGCGGCGCTCTCCTGTAGACCTTCCGGAAGAGGCGGGACGGACACGTTCCTTTCCAAACAAATCGGGATCAAAGGTAAAGTTTTTTGCTCAGCTCATCATTTATACCCACGGGCCAAGAGCTGTGAAGCGTCCTCAAAGCCATTTGCAACTGAGCCATCTGCAACTGATCAGGCCCGGCGAGGGCTGTACGACCGTGCCGCACCTGTGGAGGGCTTCGATGTCTTCCTGTCCCACACCTGGATGAGCCCCGGGAGGCCGCACACAACATGGGGTTGGCCTCTTGAAGTCTGGCATGGAACAGCGACCAGAGTGTTTAACAAGTGAAGGCCGAGGTCCAAGGTTTTTTTCTTTTCCTGACAAGTTGCGATCATGGGAGAGTCAGAGACGTTTGAGCCAGGTACAAAGTTCTCAGCCTGCTTTTCCAAGCAGGTTGGAAGCAGGTGCTTCTGGGTCAAAGCCTCTTCGTGATGGCTGGAATGGTGCTCAGTTTTCACCGCTGGCTTCCACTGCCTTTTGTCCTCCCGCCCGAGTTTGAAGAGTATTCACATCTCGAAAGCCCATTTTTTCCTTGGTGCCTCGTCTTCTCCTTCGTGGGAAGCTCCTTGGGGCTCGTGCTGACGCCCTATTTTCCGGCCCTCTGCGGCCGGCATCCTGTTTGTTTCCTGGATGTGGTCAGCATCCACCAAGTGGACCAGGAGTTGATGGAGCGTGGCATCTACGGCTTAGGAGGATTTTTGCGAGTTTCCAGAGAGCTCCGGGTCCTCTGGTCCGCCCCGTACCTCTCGAGGCTGGGCGATATGGCCAAATGGCCAAGAGCTTGTTGTAGAAAGGCCCCAGTTCAAGCGTAACATGTTTAGTCCCAGTGGCCGAGGCTGTGGTGTGTGTTCGAACTGGCAGCCTACCGGATGGCAAATCCCAGTGGACGCATCGTTGTATCCCCGATCTTTGTGGAAGTGGGCGCCCTCGTAACAATTCTCTTCACATACTTTGTGGCTATCCTGTTTTCACTGGTCTTTGTGCTCAGTTGGCAAGAAGTCGGGCGAGTCATGACCTACGTCATTGCGTGTCTCGTCCGTGGAATCGAGGTGCCTCAAGCAAGTCACACTGGCAGTCACCAGCAACCCACGATGTCGGGCGGTGCATGACCGTAACTGTATTGTACAAGTTTGCAGCCCAGCCTTCTTTGTCCTTGGACCGAGGCTTGTTCCCCTCATTCTTCTCTTGCACCTCATGCGTCGGAACCTCATGTCGAAGCACAGGCTAGTGTCAGACCTGCGCTTGTTCGACCTCGAGAAGGCGTATTGTCGCACGGACTTTGACCGAGAATTTATCCACAGGGCCATTATTGAGTGGTACGGGAGTAAGGATGCCTATACACAATACGTGCGCGGGCCCCTGCGAGAAGAGTTGCTTCGCAGCAGCAAGTCCGCTTTCCCCTTGCGATATCTTCTCATGGTGACGGCTGTGACCTTCGCTGCTTCACTGGACAGCCTGCTGGCCTTGTCTCTAGGTGGTATGACATGGCAGGTGGTATTGGCCGAGTTTGTGGGCAACAGCATCGGCTTTCATCTGGGCTATTTTCTTGGACTCTTAAACTTTGTGGTTTATCTTTGTGACCGCTTTGCGGCTCCAATATTCAGTGGCGTACTGCTGGACTATTTGCAATCAGTCATGATGTTCCTAGTTTTTTTCACCCTCTATTACCTTGGACAAGTCGTGAATCGCCGAGCATACACGACCAGCCTGTGGTCTGCCGTGGTCTGGGCCAGCGCTGCATTGCTGTGGGCTGGCCTCTCGCTTCGCCTCTTCCAACAACGCGGGTGTTGCCGAGTTGACAAGACTCCTGGAAGCTGATGCTCCTTGGCGCCGGCCGATGGCTGTGAAGCATCTTAGCTTCTTGCTGTTTTGCAGGGAGGGATGCCACAGGCATCAGGCGGAGACGCCAATCCTGGCCACCAGGCCTGAGTTCCAAAGACTGGAATTCTTCCTGCCAGCGGCAACTGGCCGCTTCTGGAGCTGCCGAATTCCGGCACCGGCTGGGAAAATCTGCTTCTCAATAGAGAGGTTTTAGCAGTGGGCTCTGGAGCATATGTTGAAGCCGCGAGTGAACTCTCACCTTGCAGCCACCAGTGCTCACAGGGGCCTTTGGGCCAGGCATGCCGAACGGTTCAGAAAGCACACTGAAATTCGCACTCGCTGTTTACAAGGTGCAAGTGTGTGTCTACATTGCATGTACATGTATCTATGTGTGTGCATATATAATATTATATGTATAGTATGGCAGACATATACATAACACCTGGGTGTGTGCTCATGCCATGAACCTGCTGCTAAGCAAAGTCTGCTGCGTGGCCACGCTGCATCAAGCACGGTGCCGTCACTCCCGACAATGCTAACTACGCCACAAGAACGTGGGGTTTTCTTGGAATTGGATCCCGGATGGGTTTGAGCAGCAGCTGCTGTCAAGAGGAGGAGCTTGTGGAGGGACCCAAGGCGCGCCCGAGCACTCCCATCCCAGCCTTTCAAAGCTCCTGAAGCGTCTGTGTCTCGCTAGGAACCTCCAGAAGTGGTTCACAGCCACAGCCGTGCTCCGTCCAGCTCGTCCTCCAGCGATGCTGCAACTGGGCCACAAAAGGAGTACGCCCATTGCTCCTCGATTTGCCCAGAGCCCTGAAAAGGTGCCTCCTGCGGCTGTGCCGGCTCTGACGTCACCCTCTGCTGGGACGCTGGGCTCGCGACCCTCACGTACACTGAGCCACTCAGCCAAGCAAAGACGTCAACTGTGCAATGAGCCCGGAGTCTGCACTAAGGCAAGTGGAGCCGGCTTCAGGACATGCGACACCTCGAGGCCAGTTCACGTTCATGTGGACTGAGACATGCACCCCAACATGGATGCATTTTCAGGTGGACGCAGAGATCGTGCGCGGGATTTCCCTTCATGCTTCCCTTCGCAACCTGGGTCTCCTATGGCGCAAGTCTCCCGTCGATCTAGCGGAGGAGGCACCACGAGAGCCGGGTTCGGCAGGTCTTAAGTGCAGGGCTCGCTATTTCTAAGAGTCTCTAAGCCTCCAAGCATTGATCCTGTTTCTACTGTTTCTGTCTTGCGGAAAGGGACGCCGGCACTTGTACGATCGTTCAGCACCGGTGGCGGCCTACGACATCTTCTTGTCGCACACCTGGCAGACGCCAGGGAGGCATGAGCGAGTGCGGTATTGTGCGGTTTTGCGGCTTTGCTGACGGCAGTCTTAAATGATGTCTTTAACCAGCCGCGACAGGTACAAAGTCCTCAGCCTTTTGTTTCAGGCAGGGTGGAAGCACATGCTTCAACTTTGGGCGGTCAGTGTGGTCTCAGCTTTCGTGCTGAGCTTCTGCAACGTACTCCCACTGCCCTTCAGCATTGTGCCGGAATTCGCCGAGTACCATGCGCATCATTGCCCATTTTTTCCTTGGTGCCTCGTCTTCTCCTTTGTGGGAAGCTGCTTGGGGCTCGTGCTGACGCCCTATT